ATTATTATTATTATTATTATTATTATTATTATTATTATTATTATTATTATTATTATTATTATTATTATTATTATTATTATTATTATTATTATTATTATTATTATTATTATTATTATTATTATTATTATTATTATTATTATTATTATTATTATTATTATTATTATTATTATTATTATTATTATTAATTATTATTATTACAACATTATTATTATTTTTTTTCTACAATTTTAATGTACACCATTTATTTTATCACTCCAGATGAATTCTTTGGTAAAACTATATTCATTGTGGATATTAAAACTGAATATTTTCCTCAACTAACCCTTATAGTGCGAGAATTATAACCAACAGTTCGATTTGACTGATAAATACTTTCTAAACACCACTGAACACAATAGAATAGACTTTTCGGACTGGGAATCATATTGAAAGGTGGCGGAAGTGTCGCTGTATCATCGAAGTATTCAATCCAAAGTTTACTTCGAGCAAATTTCCATTCAACATCTGCTTGATTCTGAGGAAAACAGATAAAAATTTATGTAAAATGTAAAATAGACTGAATAAAATTTAATTTGTGCGAAGAAAAAAGTTATATAAAAGAGATATTTAAGTACTCATTGTTAGCAATAAAAAGAGATAAAAGTAATTGATAAGAATGAATGAATTCATATCTTGACAAGAATTGTTAACACTGTAATTCGGTCAGTTTATCTGAAGTTAAAAAGAAATTTATTTATTTACAAAGATATCCTGATATGAATTGCTCATCATTGCGATAAGCATATTGAGAAGGACGATCACCGAGCAACAACAATAACAGCCAAGTATTGTTTGACCTGTCCATTTGGTTGGCCCATGTGATTCGACGATATCTAATTGTTCCAGAATGATAATCCCAAATGATGACCAAAATAATGTTTCCATTGAATTGTATAGACTAAATGTAATGTTACATAAGTGAATGCTATATTTGATAATGATAATAATAATAACGGCAATAATAAG